AGTCCAAATCCAAGCACAGCCACTTGCGAAAAACCGCGCCGGGGCTGAGGACCCTGGTGGTGTCCTCTGCGTGCCAACAGCCCTCACAAAGCACTCGTCCCCACTGCCGGCGCTGCGTAGGGCTGTGAGGATTGAGGGGCCTGGGGACACGAGACGTGGGGGCAGAGCGGGGGTGTCACCCCGAGCACTCAGTGCTGGGATTGCACCCTGGTTAGTGACGAGGGACGAGTGTCCAGCATTGGCCACTCCATCTTCTGGAGCGGGAGCCGGCACTGGCACGGAAAGCAAACCGGGGAGGGGGCACCGAGACCACCCGGGAGCTAAAATACATCACCAGAGCGACCGCGGCTGAACCCCTCAGCCCGTTCCAGGCTGTGCGGCAGAGCAAAGGCTGCCCACACCCCGCTCCCTGGAGGGCTGCCCCACGTCATCCATGGGGCAGAAACGGTGCCAACGGGTACCATGTCCCTTCCCAAGCCGCAGCAGCAGCAGAGCGTCCAACCTAAGGTGGGAACGTGGAGCCACGCGCCGTCTCAGGGTGCAGGCAGGGGATCGGTGACCGCCAGCTCTGCACAAGGGGACCAGAGCAGCTCCAGGTCCCACTGCCACCCGCAAGGGCAGAGCAGGCAGGCAGGGAAGACCTGGGTGCCGCAGGCTGGTCCATGCCTCGCCATCTCCCAGAGGTTTTACACTCCTCGAGATGAATGGGCACATGGAGGAGAGGGGCTGCCGCGCTCCTCGGGAGAGGGGTGGGAGGAAGGTGATGGCTGCACAGACCCCCCAGGTGTGGCCGGGGCAAGCGTGGCAGGAGCCCTGCAGCAAACTCTTCCAGAGCATCTCCCAAACCAGCTCCGGTGCCAAGATAAGCGAGCAGAGTTGTTCCCAGGAGAGAGAAACACAGCAGGGCACATGGCTTGAGCAGAGCAAGGAGAGCACCAGAGGCTGTCCTCTGCAGCCAGGAAAGGACCTGGGGAGGGGGCGAGGAGAGCAGGGGTCTGGGAGGGGGCTAGCCTGGCCTGTAGCGACCTGCAGGGCTTGGCCAAAGGGCTGTGGTGGCACAGCCAGCAACACCGCGCCGAGCAGGAGGGGACGAGGCGAGGAGCAGCTGATGGCCGAATTCCGGTAAGGCAGTGCTGGCACACTGGATCCAGCTGAACTGCCACCGACAGCCTTGCCGTAGACACAGGAGAGCTCAGCAGCACCAGGACACAGGGGGTCTCGTTGGGTGGACCTCATGTGGGCGCCCGGCTCAGCCCTGCCCATTGGCTCCGGAACCGGGTCGCCACCGGCTGTCGATGCTCTGTCCTTAGGGAGGCAAAATGCTGGCAAAGGTTTTTGAGGGCAGCCTTGACCCAGTGGGTTTGTGGTTCAACACTAAGCGAGGAACTTGCAGCCTGCGTCAGCGGTAAGAGGTGCTGGGAGGAGGAAGGAGCGGGGTGATGGTTTTGGGCAGAACCAGCTGATTCCGTCCCCCACTGCTTGCCTGCACCCTTGGGTTTTATTGCTGTTGTAGCAAAACCGCTGGCAGCCACCTCTGCTGCGGCGCCGAGTGCCACGCTGGACGCGGCCGAGGGCAAGTGCAGGAAGGGCTGAGCCGAGCCATGCTCCGGCTGCTCTGCGCAGAGCACGGGGAAAGCCGCCCAAGCCCCACGGCCGAGCCCCCTGCCCCCTGCCCCAGGAACAGCCGGGGAGCTCTGTGCCCCCGTCACAACAGCCTTCCCCACCACGGCTCTCCATGTACCTCCTGGTGCGACCCAGAGCAGGGTCACCATGCCACCAAGCCCAGGGACAGGCAGGGCTTGGCGTCAGCCAGCAGGGACTGCAGGCTTGGACTCGCTTGCAGGTTTTGTGTGAAAAGACCCATAATTTGGGTCTTTGTAGGGACAGTGCCAGTGCCGGGGAGTAGAGGGCTCCATGCACACCCCCAAAAGCCTTCTGCAAGCGCAGAGCCATGAGCGGGCGGCGAGCTGCCCCAGGCCATGGGCAGAGCTCAGGAGCTCAGCGCCTCGCCCCAGCGCCGTCCCCCTGCTTCCCCCACGCTATCTACAAGATGGGACGGCTCCGCAGCCCTGTAATTTACTGTTCCTGCTGCACTTAATGGCAGCGGAAAGGCAAGGTGATAGGGGAAAAAATATGAGGCGGGATTTTCCGAATCCCCATTTCCTCTCCAGACAGCACAAGAACTCCTGGGGCCTGAACATCTGGGAAATTTAATTTTACCATTTCTGAGCTGAACTCCCCTTCCCCTCCCCACCCCCGGTAACAAAGGAAGAGTCAGAGCAGGGGCCGCACGTGCAGCCGTGGGGGGAGGCTGCACTGCTGCGGAGCAGCCCAGGGACGCGGCCTCGGCTGGGCCACGCTGGCAAGCCACGGGCCAGCAGAGGAGAGGTGGGAATGTCACCTAACACCTGGTCTCTGGGCGGAGAGACCTGTGCCCAACCTGGTCAAACCCCAGACAGCCACGAATCCCATCAAATTGGAAATGAGAAGCACCAGCTCTGCCCGCGCACACCTGGCTGGGGCAGCGGTGGTGCGGGTGGTAATGGTGGTGCTACTGGTGGTGATGGTGGTGGTGGTATTAGTGATGGTGGTGCTGGTGCTGCTGGTGGTGGCAGTGGTGGCAGTGATGGTGGCAGGGGGGGCAGGGATGGCAATGGTGGTGGTGGTGGTGGTGGCAGTGATGGTGGCAGTGATGGTGCTGGTGGTGGCAGCAGTGATGGTGCTGGTGGTGCTGGT